GATGTGAATAAACTGAATAAAAATGCGGACACATATAAGTATTATATAGCAGGAATTGAAAGCTAAATGTTCACCAGCAGAGGATTAAAAATAAAAACAAGAGGAAGGAAACAAAGAGTAATTAAAATAACAACAGGATTAGAAGAATGATGGCGTGTGTAAGGGACGACTCAAAGAAGATAGGCAGATGATGTAATTAATATGTGATTTTCATATTTTGCAAAGGCACTGTTTGATTTCACATTAAAAATTAAATTGGTTATCCTCATAAATTTTTTGTTCACTACAATTAAACTATAAACCTGATCAGTATAATATAAATGATAGTTCCTACTTTATGACCAATCAATGTCTATAACCGTTTTAACTTTTTGAATTCATCGGTTAAAATTTATCTGTCAGATCAAAATTTAACAATAAACCTTAATCCATACATTAACCAGTGACTAGATATAAATCAATGAAATGTGAACTTCAAACTTTCTTGTCAAATTGATCAGTGTTTATATGAAACACTTTTCATTTCCTAGAAATGGATCAACATTCAAATAACATCTTAAAAACACTAGAATTTTCAATAATAATATACGTCAACATATCAACATATGTGTTATAGTTCAAAGATGAACTCATTCACATAGTAACTACATTCATCATATTAATTATTTATCTTATAATTCGGATCATGAACTGATATTAAATGATAATTAACGATTAGAAAACAATGTATGGCATGTTCATCTTAGGATGGGATTTTTCAAAAGTGTTCACCTATGATTAAATTCAAAACATTTTGACTTTATAGTTAACATATAACCTTTAGATCCAATGATTTAGATGTATAATGAACTAATTTGCAACTAATTCTAATCTCCTGATTCCTCGTTGTCTCCTTTTTTTCTCTTCCCAAATTTATTTCAGTGGATTATACTCTTTAAATAACATCTCCAAACTCTAATCTTTCCGATTACTGCTTATAATCTCACTACCTCTACCACTGCGGGATTCGAGTTGACAACTGCATCTCTGTGCTAATGTGATATGGCAAATCGAACTGATGTACGTACGTACGAAGTTCTACGTTGTTACTGACTGACTGAATTCATTTTAACACCTTATGAAAATAACGATCGTTTACCTATGTGTATATAGTTATAAAATCTTCTTGTTAAAAAGTACCATACTGGCTTAGTTTGCCCTAAATAAAACAGTTCTCTGAAGAATTATTTACTGGATATAACTTGTTTATTGAATAATGAAAATTTCTAATTAATTTAAATTACATCTTAGGAAACAGAAATACATACACTGAAACATGCAACAACAGAGAGCTTAGATTGACTCATGTATTCAACTGTTAAAATTACTATAATTTCCAAAAATTCACATTAGGATAATAATCATTTGGTCATTAGTGACTAGCTTCAAGATGGATTTTTGGTTTTCTAGTGAAAAGCCCTAACCAGTGGAGTCCAATCCACGTCGAGTGAAAGACAGTGTCTACCTCGGACAATGGATGAAGGGTTGCGCAAGATCGTGGATCTATTGAAGCTAAACATTAACATAGTTGGATGCCGGCTCAATGGTCTAGAGGTCAAGTGTTTGCGCGCGAGATCTAAAACCTTAGGATGGAGTTCCGTGTACGGGATCGTGGATGTACATTTCTGAGGAGTCTCATACTAAGACGAAACAGTCGTCCATTGATTCGAAATTATCAAATGTGGTCAAGCTTAAATCGACTCATGAATCCAAATGTTGAAATTATTACAATCCTCGAAAATCTCTATTCTGCTAAAATAGAGCAGTTCAACGGAAAGATCGTAAATAATTCGATCAAATAGTATACTTTAAGAATGTTATTTCATCATTATCAACTCATCAATCAGAATCAACACTAGAAAATCTACAAGAAAAACATATCAATTTTAATCGGATTTAAACACAATGCTGAAGATTTTGTCAATTAACTCATATCAGTATAGGGGCTGTTTTAAGATTGGTTCATGATCTCAACCAAAAACTTAATAATCTCCAACAACCCCTATACTAATAGTTAACATATGTGCTCACTAGTGACCAGCTTCGTGAGGGAATACTCGGAGTTCTAGTGAGAAGCCGTGACCAATGGAGCTGATCAACTGTCGGGTAGAGACACGTATCTACCTCAGTACAATAAAAGATGGTCGCGCAATTTCGTGGATTGATGTTCGATACTAGCATCATTGGATGCTGACTCAGCGGTCCAGTAGGTTAAGCGTTCGCGCACGAGACTGCAGGCTCTAGATTCGAATCCCGTGATCGGGATCGTGGATGTCCACTGCTGAGGATGTATATATGCTAACAAGAGACTGATGAATTTCAGTCGTAAATAATAATCGGAAGATACAAGTAAAACGTCACCAAGTGAATGTTTCACTTAGTAACATTTAAAATATGCTAAACATTCAATATGTAATTTTTTTAGGATACCCATAATAATGAAAATGATGAAAACTTCTCATTATAACTTACTATTAATCTTAAGATGATATTTTTAACATTACAACTGAATCAATAATAAATATATTTCTTTCATTATCATAGTCTTTACAATCATTTATTCAAAGATAAAATATTTTAATAGTTGAGATCATGAGTTAATTGAAGCTAGATCACCATAGAAAACCTAGATTCACTGGATGGCTATTTCATCCTATTGTGAAAGTTCTCAGCAGCACGTATCTACGATCCTGCCTTACAAGATTCAAACCCAGTATCTATCGGTCTCGCGTGTGAACACTGAACCTATAGACCATTAAGCTAGTCAGCATCCAATAGTGTTACTGTCCCTCTTATATTCATAACAGTCTATAATTATGAAAGATATCTAAAGATATTTAAAGTTTCACATTATTGACTAATTTTACTTAGATAATCACTGGAAAATTACTTTATTCAGTTTAAATGAATTCAATCGAATAGTATTGTTATAATTTGTGGTCTGTATACCCTGTTAATGTATAACATGATGATACCGTCAATTAGAGAGCAGTGAATTATCAATCGGACAAATGACGCCTAAAACCCGTGCTAGTAGTCTAGAGTTCTGATTAGTCTTGCTCTCCGCCTAGCCCATTCTGTTATGTCCAGAACACAAATCTCAGCCTCTGCAATATGAATCATGCATTTCCAACATACGGGGTTTATATACCAACCAGACAAACCACATCGTACCAATAAAATAGGAAACAACATTTATACAAGATATAGCAAAATGTCGCTGTCAATGTGGGAGGTAGTAATTGATAGACAGGGCATGATACAAAAATGGTAAGTCGTATAATACTAGTTCATAAGTCAATATAAAACTTATGATAAGAGGAACATGAATATGAATAGCTTAGTTATTTGACAATTATACGATAAAAATATACGTATAATATTGATCTATAAATGGATCCCAACAGTTACCATTCATTATTCTCATCGGGATATAACAAGTATAAAATGACACATACATATTTATATAAATTTGAAGTTTATTTGGGTTTTTCAACTGAAGTTATTCTTATATAACGTAACCAGCTAAGTAAATAGATAATATTGGGAGTTTAAAAATATAACTATTCATTTATGCATATAATGTAATAGTTATATAATTATGATCATCCATTTTAAGTTTAAATTTTTCAGTTATTAATATATTTTTTTTTATAAGATTTAACCAGTTTCTATAAAAATATAGGTCCCTTGAAGCATATCTCTTTGATTCTGAACCTGGGAAGACACAAGTAAATAACACCAAGTGAAACATAGATGAACACTTTTCATGAGCCCTATACTAATTTTATTTATTTATTTATTTAAACACATAAATATTGGTACAAATGGATACCGAATACATATGCACCACACAAAACACTTCATTTGTTTATGGGCTATGATACTGACCGAGTGCCCAACTCAAAGCACATGGTTCTCTTAAGCGGTCACACCCGAAACCTTCGACATACAGGTCTGATACACAACGTAGTGGAGCAACGTATGAGATGCACTCGAATGATAGCCACTGACCAACGATTGATTCACACGCCATTTGTTCCTTCAGGATCCTCGAACCATGTACACCATTGGTTTGGAATGAGGGTTTTCCAACTTCCCTAGGTGAACGCTCCATATCCACATACCCAGTTAATTCACCGGACATTCTCTTTTCGTCCTCTCAATTTTGTAAACAACACTGGTGGTGCGAGAAGGCAATGAGTATGACTTCCCTGGCAGCGGCTATATACGTTTGGCCATGTTAGAAGATTCGGAGAGAGGGAGAGAGAGCGGACGCTCGCCACTCTTGGGCGTACCAGGGCATTTGGGGGCATGAAAGCATTTATTGGTCAGCTACTTACAAAAGTATCTGTCTCATTCATTTTACTTCATATCAGATAAGAATAATATAATGAAAATAATTTCATTAAACATGAAATATTCTATGTTAATAAATGAACTGATCATTGATATGTGATAATTCGTTTACATTTCCACAATCGATTCTAATTGAACTTGTGAACTATTTCATTAAATAATGAAGACAATTATACACATTAGTTGACATTTTTCTCTCTTATTTAATAAGTCAACACTTAATCTTTTCAGTTCAAATAAGGATTATGTGTAATGTACATAGTTAAATAGACATTAATTCATTGTTATAGTATGTATTGAAGAAAGCTAATTGAGAACCTTTAATTATACCTGTAAACTCCGCCTGGAGTCCCTCTGGGGGCTACTGCCGGTCCCAAGCCCGGATAAAGGAGGAGGGTTGGGCATGGGGTTAGCGTCCCCATCCCGTAGAAAACTAACTCTCTAAAAAAACGCTAACCAGAAAATTATTCAAGTAATTATACCTGTACATATGCGTATATATATATATATATATATATATATATATATATATATATATATATATATATATATATATATATATATATATGGGTATATATATATGGGTATATATTGTAACTTACCGTGCCATTATACGTATCCTAAAGTATTGGAAAAATTGAAGTGCTTCAGTTGAATTAATTTGATTAGTCCATGGAGATTGATGAAAATTTGAACTGTATCATTCGATAAATAAATCAAGAAAGAATAATAATAAATAAGAATTTTTTTTTAAAAAAGAGAAAATATAAAATCTGAATGATGAATAAGATTTAAAGTTTTGTCGGATACTGAGATAGAGGTATGTACACTGAATGAAATGCTTCTAAATATCGTAAACCCTGATGATGTTGTCCAGAGTGTTAGTAAGATTCTGTAATTAAACTATCTAATACAGATAACATAACATTAGCCATAACACAATTTCAGTAATTACATAAAGATGGTTAATTTGTTTCAGAAGGGGTCTTATGGAGATTGTAATAATTTCAATAGTAGAGATCATGAGTCAAATAAAGCTAGACCATCATGGAAAACTTGGAAGCACTGAAAGACTATTTCGTCCCAATATGGGATTGTGGATGCACACTGCTGAAGAGTTCAACAATAGGACGAAACGAATGTCCAGTGCTTCCAAGTTTTCCATGGTAGTCTAGCTTCCATTGACTCATGATGTAAAATATTAAAATCATCATAATATCCACAAAACCCCTTCTGATATTAGTCAATATATGCTCACTAGTGACTGGCTTCAAGAGGTATTTCCTGGAGTTTTAGTGAGAAGCAGTGACTAATAGTGTTCAACTGGGTCTGTTGTGAGATAGTAGCTCACTGAAGACAATGGTGGATATGTCAATCAATTTCTTGGATTAATTGAAGTTAGAAATTAAAATCGTTGGATGCCGGCCGGCTCAGTAGTCTAAAGGTTAAGCATTCGCTCACGAGACTGTTAGGTACCGGATTTAGATCTCTCAAGATGGGATCATGGATGTTCACTGTTGAGGAGTTCCACATTAGGACGAAATGGCCGTCCAGTGCTTCCACGTTTTCCATAGTAGTCTAGCTTCAATTGACTCATGATTGCAACTATATCAAAATTACTATGGTATTCACAAAAAACCCTCTTTCGATTTTGAACAATTTAACTAGATATTTTTTCATTTTTCAAGTTTATTTACTTCTTTTTTTATTTCATTTGAAGATCACTTTATCACGGACAAAGTGAAGATGAGAAATTATTGATAATTAAAAAATCCTTTAAAAACGTTGTTGATTCAACCTACTTATTATTATACCATAGGTATAAAGCTATTTGTCTCTTTGTTAATCTTGTTACTTTTAAGCTATTGAGTTTTCTTACATAATCTGAGGTACATTCTTAAGGAGTATTATATTTGGGTTGAATGGCTATTGAATCACTTTAGGTATTCAGTAATTAATATCAGAAAGGGTTTTGTGGATATTATAGTGATCTTAATAATTAATATCAAGATTCAGCTAGACTACCATGGAAAGCTTGGAAGCACTGGGCAGCTGTTTCGTCCTATCGTGGGACTCTTCAACAGTGCGCATCTAAGACCCCGTCTCACGGGATTGTTGTTTACATTACCAGTCTCATAGGAATGACAACTTGATAAATAGGAATTAAATGAGCCATTATAGTATATCTACATCATTTGATAAGATACAGTTCGTAGAATGACAATTGTTAGTATGAAATAAAATTCATTACGAGTTGCCTTTCGGTATATCCAGTAATGACTGATAAACTAAAGAATACATATCATTAAAGTGATTAAAATGAACAAAGTAAAGTATTACATTCCAAGATTTTTATGTATATTCAACAAAAGATTTATCTATTCAAATGTTCTGAAAGTTTTATTTAAGTAATATTTTTACAAAGTATTCTTCGATTGTTAAATAGAATTGATTGGTGCTTTAGCAATATGATCTGATCTATATTTGTATTTTGTTCATTAAATGATTATTAATACCTATGAACTCATGAACCCCTCTGTTAAATGATTAATTAAACATTTTAACATCTAATTGTTGTTCGAAACGTTATCTATTTCATATTTTGGTTTAAATTCTTATTCGTTAATTAATATAACAAATTCGTTGATTATAACAGCTCTTCACAACGATTTTGTATTATTTCTTCATGTTATATGAGGGTTTCATCAACAACATTAATGTCATAGAATAATGTTTGAAGTTCATCAATAAATTATTTCAACAGAAATATGTAAATGTATTACATTAAGACACTGAAAGCAGTCGGTTTAATATCATAAACTAGAATGAAACAACTGTTATACATATCGTATATCTCAATAATTGTCCACCCTATTATGAGTCTATGGTAAGAACTATAATCAAATTGATGTAATTACTTTAAACGGTATATCATTCAACCAAAACCTTCACATTCAATAGATATTATGAAAAATCAATAAATTACTTGACGATAGAATAACAATTTAGTCAGAATAATGTTAACCCATTTGATGTTTTGGTTTCTTCTCAGCTGCTTACAATAGTATATACATATAATACCACTTATCATTGTCATTCTAGTTTTTTTCAATCCATAATGTCCTACTACATAACTTCATATTTTGTTTGAGAGAGATACTTTTGTAAGTAGCTGACCAATAAATGCTTTCATGCCCCCAAATGCCGTGGTACGGCTGAGAGTGGGGAGAGTCCGCTCTCTCTCTCACCAAATGTTCTCACATGGTCACACGTATATAGCCTCTACCAGAGAAGTCCTATTCATTGCCTTCTCGTACCACCAATGTTGTTTACAAAATTGAGAGGACGAAAAGAGAATGTCCGGTGAATTAACTGGGTATGTGGATATGGAGCGTTCACCTAGGGAAGTTGGAAAACCCTCATTCCAAACCAATGGTGTACATGGGTTCGAGGATCCTGAAGGAACAAATGGCGTGTGAATCAATCGTTGGTCAGTGGCTATCATTCGAGTGCATCTCATACGTTGCTCCACTACGTTGTGTATCAGACCTGTATGTCGAAGGTTTCGGGTGTGACCGCTTAAGAGAACCATGTGCTTTGAGTTGGGCACTCGGTCAGTATCATAGCCCATAAACAAATGAAGTGTTTTGTGTGGTGCATATGTATTCGGTATCCATTTGTACCAATATTTATGTGTTCAAATAAATACAATAAATGGGTTCAAATTATTCTGTCTAAATTATTGTTCTAGATTTATTTAAGTTCACCAAGAGGACTAACTGTAAACAAAAAATTTAATGTTAAACTTACTGTGCTGCAACAATTTCTGTAGCAAGACGTTTTATTGTAATATGATTTGATGAATCTTGATTCATAGAATCATAACTATTAGTTGAACTTGATTCAACAATTAATTTAAGTGAAGGTGATTTTGGATACCAAACTAATAGTGTTGCACTAGCACTACGACCATCCATTTTTGCTACTAATGGTAATCCTGGAGAACCATCTAATTCTGCACCAGAGAATCCAAGTTTTGAACAAATATCTTGTGCAAAATGTATTACAGCATCATCACCAGTATGACATGTTGCTTTATTAGTGATATCAATTAATTTTAAATCATGTGTTAATCCATATACCCATACAGGATAAATTGTTGGTTGTCCAGTTAAAACAGCAAGATTTACCAATGCCGATGTCTGGTTAATATAATTTGTTTTTTTCAAAAAATAAAACACAATACAGATGCATATTTAAAGATAAGTTTACTATAAAATATTCTATGAAATATTCCAGAAAGATTTCATACATATAGTTCCCTATATTATCCTAAAAAGAGCAAGAACAAAGGTTGGTGCAGAATAACATGAATTCATTTTATTTCGTACTGCCAACACACTTAAAGAGGAATAAATGGAGGTGAAAAGGTGTTTAAAGAATAATGGAAAACCACAGAAATTTAGTGAAAAATATGGGAAACGTGGACATACGAAACTTAAAGAAACTACAGTAAACAAAAAAACTATTATTATTCAACTTCAATTCAAAAGTATTAATGTGACAGGGTCAATCAACATAGGACTTAAACCTTCATTGAAAAGAACTCATCCTGTCTCATCTTGTCTTGTCCAAAACAACATATTCTTCATCATAATCCGAGATCGGTAGGTATCCCTTTCATATTACCACCAACTGTGTAAAAAAATTCACATGTATCTGTCAGAGCAGTTACATTGGTAGAACAAAAGGAGAACCTACATCCGATTCAAAGAACATATTCCGAAGACTTTAAGATCTAATAGATTAAAAACATTCACCAGTGCCATCACAAGACATCTCCCTAATACAGGACATGTAGTCAATACACTGAAATCCTTCAAGTTGATTAACAAACAATCAAACTTCAACCTTTTGAAATTTCCCGAAGCGATTGCATTCAAATGTCGAGAACCAGATCTATGTATCGAAAAGGAGACAGTAATAAATCTTTCTTTGCCCTGATAATATTAAACCTTTCTATTTATTACGTCATTCATTAGTTCAACTCTTTCTCAAGTTTAAATTATATGATTATCATTGGTTTTTTCAATTCATAACTGACTGATTTCAATTTTGTATCTTTCTTTATTACCATTAATCTATTCCAAGCTAGTTCATTACATAATCATCTGATGTTTGTTAATTCCATGGATTCTAATCACTATTTGAATGTTCTGTAACTTTCCCTCTCAAACTTTATTTATTTATCTGAAACAAAAACCTTGTATGATTTTATTAACTCTGTCGAAATCTTTGCTACACCATGATACACATGCATCCATCCATTAATCCCCCTCTTATGTATAAGTATGTCAATATCTGTGATAACTTTGATTTTCAAATGTTTTAGGTTGTAAGGAACTGATGAGAACCTAACGAAATGAAATAAATTCATATCATTTTGTACTAATCTTCGCACTTGCTCTTTTTAAGATTCTAGAAATAGTTCATCTTTTAAAGTTAAACAAATAAACATTCATAGTTCATTAATAATTCTGTAGGCATATTCATTAAAACACATCTTCAAATAATGTAGAAGACATTTAGTTTTATATTATCTGAAGTTGTTTACCTTAAATAATTTAAATGAAAAGCTTTAATTATTGTTCATGATGTGGCATACAATGTTTACATTAAGTTATTAAACTGAAGAAGTCCAGACAAGTTTTCTGGACGAAACGTCGGAATTATTATAAATTTTTATATATAATAACTAGACCATTATGATTTGATAAACTTGTTTGTATTCAATTGTTATTATAAGTTTTGATCTTTGGATTCTAATCCGTTAATTTGTTGGTTTATTCTTTAATCTTTCTTTTATATATTACCACTATTGACTTTACTTCTATGAATCCGATGTTCATCTTGCTGTACTAATGAGGTATGGCAACTTGGACTGATGCATATATGTGCCTGGTCTAACATTGTAGCTGACTGACTTATTCTCTAATCATGTGATTGACAAACCTTTATTGCATAGTTTCAAAAGATTAAGTATATAAATATGTGTCGCCTGAAGATTTATTGATTTGACTGTTATTCTTAAAAGAAGTTTCTAGTATACTTGGAGGACTAAATATGTAAAATGTTTCATTAGTTGTTCATGAGAATTGAGAGAAGTAGAGAAATGCTGAATCATTTGATTAATAATATATATTTGCATTTAAGTGTCAGATTTATATACTTTTATTCAATTGACTACTATTTAAAGAGAGAGAAAACAAAGATCGGTACAGAATAATATGAACTCATTTTATTTCGTTATGTTTCTCATCAGCTGTTTACAATCTATCATCCTTTAAAATCAAAGTTATCACAGATATTGACATACTTATACATTCAAGGATGATTAATGGATGAATACATGTGCATCATGATGTAGCGAAGATTTCGATAGAGTTAATAAAATCATACAAGGTTTTTGTTTCAGATAAATAAATAAAGTTTGAGAGGGAAAGTTACAGAACATTCAAATAGTGATTAGAATCGATGAATTAACAAACATTAGATGATTATGTAATGAACTAGCTTGGAATAGATTAATGGTAATAAAGAAAGATACAAAATTGAAATCAGTCAGTTATGAATTGAAGAAAGCAATGACAATGATATAATTTAGACTTGAGAAAGAGTTGAAATAATGAAAGATACTATAAAACGGCCGTAATGTTAGAAATATTTATCACTATTTCTTTTTGGACATGGATCTGGTTTTTAGGTGTTTGATCACTATAGCTTCGGTAAATTTCGGAAGATTGGGATTCAATTGTTTATTACATACCTTGAAAGACTTCAGTGTATCTACTTGATATTCTATATCAAGGAAATATCTTGAGATGACATGATTTTAATTTACTCGACATTAGTAAACGAAGATAGATAGTGGCTAGCAGTGGATTCCAGTACGCGCCTTTCGTCCTATTTGGGACTCGTCAGCTGGATGTACCTGTATCTCAGAGTTGATGTTCACTCTGGAACTCAAACCCAGTACCGTTCGACTCGAACGCCATCGCTTTATCCACTAAGCTACTGAGTCCTGATAGCCACCTCCTTGTGCAATTGGGTGAAGTTATATTTATTTGGTTTTGTTTACTTGTATCTCCCCATTGTTACTTAGGACTGCAATTGATCAGTCTCGTGTTGGCATATGTGTATTATCCATCTTTGCTTAATAAGCTTGTGACTTCAAGCAATATCGAGGCAGTCCGCACAGGACGCATATATACCAACAAGAGACTGATCAAATGCAGTCCTAAATAACAATGGGAAGATATAAGTAAACAACACCAAGTGAATACACTTGACATTAAGTTCTTTGAATAAGACGTAGGTTCTTTCTGTTCTACCAATGTAACCACTTTAGCAGATACATGTAAATTTATATACACAGTTCATAGTAACATGAAAGGGATACCCACCGATATTTGATTATGGTAAAGAATATGTTGTTTTGGACAAGACAGTTAGTTTAACTTCAGGATAAGTTCTTGTCAATAAAGGTTTTAGTCTTATGTTGTTTGACCCTTTCACATCATTACCTTTGAATTGAAGTTGAATAAAAATAGATTTTTGTTTACTGTAGTTTCTTTGGACTTTGTATGTCCACGTTCCCATATTTTTTACTAAATTTCTGTGGTTTTCCATTATTCTTTAAACACCTGTTCACCTCCATTTATTCCTCTTTAAGTGTGCAGCCAGTACATATTCTGTTATTTCCGTTAAATAGTGTTTTAATCAGTGCTTTTTAGTAGTTGAGTCGACAAATGTTATTAAAATTGAGATCAATCGCATTCCATATGTCTGTTCTATAAACAAACGTCGAACCGTGCCATCCCCCCTTCGTTTTATAGAGATGTCGATAAAATGGAACATGTGTTTACTTTGATGTTCCACAATTAACTGGACATTTCATAGACTTCGTTGAGAAGTTTAATCAGATTTGTTGAATGTTGTTGATTATTACATTAGATGAAGGCGTCATCAACATACCTCGAATAATACACCATCTCACCAATCTCTCGTTTGGGCTTAGTTCTTTCAAGAATAGCCATGAAAATATCTGCTAGGACAGGACATAACGGACTTCCCATTGATACATCATATGTTTATCGATATAAGACATTATTGAACTGTAAATGAACATCTTATGTTTTGCAGTCGTTTGACTTGTGATGCTGGTAGAGGTAGGATGTCAGAATGCCGGCAAACTATGGCTATGGTTTCAGGAAGTAGAAGTGAATTTGTCAACCATCTTCTTCTTCAAGAGATCCCTGAGTACATTCGTGATTCTTTTGTCAATTGAATCAGTTAATTCCTTGTTACTTTTGTCTAACTTGAATCTCATATGGTCACCTAAAATCGATTTCATCTTAGGGACATAATCTATTGTGTTTATTAGAATGACACCTGAACCATTATTTGACCATAATATCATTACATCATCATTTCACTTAAGTACGTAATTTCTTAACCTAACAATATAAAAGGAATTCATGTTATTCTGCACTAATCTTTGTTTTTGCTCTGTTTAAGATAATAAAAGGGAACTATGTGTATGAACTACTGTTTACTTATTATTTGTAAAAATCTTCTGAAAAGGATTTTGTTAACAATGAATACCAAAGGCTTGAGACTTAGCTTATTTACACTTTTACAAACTTTGAATTGTAAACTACAATGGCTAAACTATAATTGGGTAACCATCTATGATGATCTTGTATTTGACCCTAAAAGCCTGTGTGATATGACTTAACTAACTGAATGAATATAAACAAATATTTATTATACTACCTATGTCAATAAACTACTGTATTGTTTTTCAGTGTCATAGTCATAGAAAATACCAAAGATATTTCATCAGTCCTGAAAGTAGTAACGAAACTGAATGATCAAATTTGAAAAATTTTATTGAATAGGAAAATTAGACTCAAGATTAAAAAAACATTTTCCATTTCTTATAATGATTTCAAACATTCTGATAATCATTTTGTAAGCAATGATGGATAGTGGCTAGCAGTGGAATCCAGTACGGGCGTTTCGTCCTATTCGGGACTCGTCAGCCGAATGTACCTGTATCTCAGAGTTGATGTTCACTCTGGGAAGATACAAGCCAGACAATACCAAGTGAATTCTGATAATCAGTTTTTGATATGGTTGA